CCATCCTTATCCATCAACCATCCATCAACAGCAGGGAGACCAGAGTGCTGAGGGGATGGGGGCAAGTGTGAAGGAAGCAGGGTCAGCTGTGTGTTTTGTGGGTCATGAGGAGTTTGGATGTTTAAAGCATGAAGGAGGAACTTCCCTGGTGGCCCAGGGGTTAAGAGTCTGTGTTTCCACTGCAGGGGGCATGAGTTTGACCCCTAGCCAGGGAGCTAAGATCCCACATACCATGCAGCATGGCCAAAATTTTTAAAAATAGATTTTAAAAATTAAAGCATGAAAAAAAAAAATTAAAGCATGATGGGGAATCATGGGGTAGATTTTTTTAGCTAATTTAATTTACATTTAATTTACATTAAAATGCTTTTTATCAATCATTTTTAATTCACAATTTTTCAAAAAATTTCTGACCACATCCTGGGGCATGTGGGATCAAATCCTCGTCCCCTGCTTTGGAAGGCAGAGACTTTACCACTGGGAAGTCCCCATGATTGGTTTTAGAACAATTTTTATAGCAGTTTTATTGAGATGTCATTCACATACTATGCAACTTACCCAGTTAAAGGGTATGAGTCAGAGAATTTTAGTGCATTTGGAGTTGTGCGACCAGCCCCATAGTCTAATTCCAGAACATTCCATCCAGGGCCTCAGAGCTGGAGTCATAGTGTCAGGTCAGGGGTGGGGCACCCAATCCTAACCTGGCCTTCTCTCTCCCTCTCCCCAGGAGGCAACACCTTTGAGACCCACATCATTGGGGGTCGAAACGCTGTCCCCCACTCACACCCATACATGGTCTCGCTGCAGAAGTCTGGCTGCCACCAATGTGGCGGGGTGCTCCTGAACCAAAATTGGGTGTTGACAGCTGCCCACTGCCTGACCCAGCCGTGAGTGACCCAGCCCCACCCCATCACACCAGATGTCCCCAGACCTATCCTGGTTTCCCCATTCTCACCAGGAAGTGGGTCCGGAGAGATTTAAGTCAACTGTAGTGTTGTGAGAGGGTCCTCTTCCCCTCTGCAGTGGTTGCTGAGGCAAGAGTACATCACAGCAACCTTATGTGTGTGCTTGTGACATTAGGCTGCAAGGATTCCTGAAGGCAGCTTATTTGCTACAGAAAAGCACCTTCCAAATGGACAGAGGTGGGCCTCTTGTGACACCCAGGAGTGTGTCTCCCACCTGTGGCCACAGGGACAGAGCTGGCCTATGAGGGTGGTAGGGCCAACACAGAGAGGAACCTGGGTGCATGATGCCATTGTGAAACCACCAGGTAAACCCATCCCAGAGCCATCCTACCTCCGGACTGGCCAGTAACAAAGACTGCAGATCAAACCTGGAGAAGTAATCAAAGGGGGTCTGTTGATTCAAGTAACTGAAAACATGGAAAGGAGACAGCCTTCAGGCAGCTAGATGGGAGTCTGGGGTGAGGTGAGAGCAGGGAAGGCTTCCTGGAGAAGGCAGGGAGAAGACCAGACTGGGCAGGGGAAGGGGAAGGACTGCAGAAAGAAGCTGGTGAGGTGGTGCAGGACAGTGTGTGAGCGCCCCTGGCCCAGAGCCTGGGAGGACTGGGGCTCACACCCAGGCCCTGCTGCCCCCCCACCCACACCCTGCAGCCCCCCTAAACCCCAACACTGCCGCCCCCAGGACGCAGCAGCTGAGGCTTGTGCTGGGGCTCCATGTGCTGGGAGAGCCCAGTCCTACCTACCGCATCAAGAAGGTGGTCCTGCACCCCAAACACAAGCCAACTCCTCATCTGGAGAATGACCTCGCGCTGCTAAAGGTGCTGCCAGTGGGAGGATGGTAGTTCCAGGTCCCCTCCCCTGATGCCCCTTCCCTATCGCCCCTCCCCCAGACTCACCTTCCCACTGCCCCTCTCCCTGTGTGCCCCTCCCCCGGTGTCCCCTCACCTGCTCATCTGCCCCTTCCTGTCCCTATAGATGGATGGGAAGGTGAAGCCCAGCAAGACCATCCAGCCCCTGGCCTTGCCCCGAGGGCGCCAGGCGGTGGCTGCAGGCACCCGTTGCAGCCTGGCTGGCTGGGGCCTGACCCACCAGCCTGGGCAGTTGGCCAAGGTGCTGCAGGAGCTGGACCTGCGTGTGCTGGACACCAGGATGTGCAACAACAGTCGGTTCTGGAACGGCACCATCAGCCCCCACATGATCTGCCTGGCTGCTGACTCCAAAAGCCAGGCCCCCTGCAAGGTGCGGGTGCTGGGGGTAGGGGCGCTCAGGCCAGCCTCCCTTCCCTGGGGGTCCTGAAGCTGGGAAGGACCAGGTACCCACTTCTCAAGTGCAAAAACTGAGGCACGGATAGACTAAGCAGCTTGCCCATAGTCACACAGTGGGTGGCAGAGCTAGGCTTTGAACTCCAGCACCCAGAAATATCAGGGCATGGAAGGAGCATGTGCAAAGGCCCTGGGGTGGCAAGAAGGCACAGAGAGAGTTACCAGGCAAGACAGGAACTGAGAAGGGACTAAAGGAGGTGGGGGAAGGGAGGGAGCAGGGAGATGGGGGTCTCTGCCCTGGAATCAGCCTCCCATCCCCTCCCACTGGATAACCAACCCCCTTCATCAGGAGGTGACTGGTGCTCTGTTGCCTCCACAGGGGGACTCAGGTGGGCCTGTGGTGTGCAGAAGAGGCCAAGTGGCCGGAATCCTGTCCTTCAGCTCTGTGGAATGCACTGACATCTTCAAACCCCCCGTGGCTGTCGCCGTGGCCCCCTACATGCCCTGGATCAAGAAGGTCCTCCGCCACTAATGGCCCACCTCCCTCACCTTGACCCTCCAGAGGTGGCCCTGATTCCATGTTCCAAGGAGCATCCTGCAGCGGGGCAGCCAGGGGCCCGGATGTATCAGGGGACCAATAAACCGTAATAATAAAACTGCTTGAGCCTCCTGCGGGCTGAGGACCTCTGGTTTGCCACCTACAAAACGGGTTGTACTTTTCAGGCTGCATGGGAGGGCCAGCCGCTGCCAAGGCCCAGGGGCGCCGGGGGTCAGAAGGAGACAGAGAAAGGCCCCCAAATCTCCTTCCTTCTCTTTTTGACTTTGGTTCCATGTTTAGTGGGCTCCTCTGGTGGCTCAGAATTTGCCTGCCATGTAGGAGACCTGGGTTCCATTCCTGGGCTGGGAAGATCCCCTGGAGGAGGGCATGATAACCCACTCTAGTATTCTTGCCTGGAGAATCCCATGGACAGAAGAGCCTGGTGGGCTACAATCAATGGGGTCACAAGAGTCAGTCATGACTTAGCAGCTAAACCATCAACCACCACCACTGTCTTTCAGTTCAGTTCAGTCAGTTGTGTCCAACTCTTTGCAACCCCATAGACTGCAGCACACCAGGCTTCCCTATCCATCACCAACTCCTGGAGCTTGCTCAAACTCATGTCCATCAAGTCAGTGATGCCATCCAACCATATCATCCTCTGTCATCCCCATCTCCTCCTGCCTTCAATCTTTTCCAGCATCAGGGTCTTCTCCAATGAGTCGGTTCTTTGCATCAGGTGGCCAAAGTATCAGAGCTTCAGCTCTGGCATCAGTCCTTCCAATGAATATGAAAGACTGATTTCCTTTAGGATTGACTGGTTTGATCTCCTTGCAGTCCAAGGGACTCTCAAGAGTCTTCTCCAACACCACAGTTCAAAAGCATCAATACTTCAGCACTCAGCTTCCTTTACGGTTCAACTCTCACATCCATACATGACTACTGGAAAAACCACATCTTTGACTATACAGAACTTTGTCAGCAAAGTAATGTCTCTGCTTTTGAATAGGCTGTCTAGGTTAGTCATAGCTTTTCTTCCAAGGAACAAGCATCTTAATTTCATGACTGCAGTCACCATCTGCAGTGATTTTGGTGCCCAAGAAAATAAAGTCTGTCACTGTTTCCATTGTTTCCACATCCATTTGCCAGGAAGTGATGGGACTGGATGCCATGATCTCAGTTTGTCTTATATTGAGATATAATTCACATGCCATGCAATTCACCCTTTTAAATAGTGTGTGATTCAGGGGTTTTCAGTGCATTCCCAGGGTTGTGCAACCAGCATCTCTATCTAGTTCCAGAACTTTCCAGGACCCCAAAAGCAACCCTACCCCTCCCCAGCCCCTAACCACCAGGAACCCACTCTCTGTGTCTGTGGATCGGCCTGTTCTGGACATTTCCCATCAGTGGAATCACACCCTGTGTGTCCTATGTCTGCTTATCTCACTGAGCATCATGTTCTCAGGGTCCATCCACGTGGTAGCAAGTGTCAGGGCTTCTCTCCTCTTCAGAGCTGAGGGATGCCCCATGTGTGGAGGGACACGTGTGTGTATGTCTGCTCACCTGTCCATGGACACCTAGCTTGTTTCCACCATGGCTGCTGTGGCCACAGGTGCAAAGACACGTGTGGATGTATTTTTAGTTCTCTTGAGTGTGCTCTGATGAGGCAGAGAGAAGTTGCTGGACCGTCTGATGATGGACTCTGTGTGGAACAGTGTGAGAAAACTGCTATTTTCTGGCAGAATCTTCTGCTTTTAATATGAAAATGCTGAAATAGCCACGCTGAAATAACCGCATACCAAACACCTAGGTGCCTGCCCCCTCAGCGCCCCCACCCCACTCCCGCCATGCGGGTTTTCCCAGGAGCAGCTGAAGTGCTTTTGCTTCTTCCCCCACTGTCTGTCTGTCCATCTGGCTTTGTTGCTGGTGCATCTCATGTAGGTGGCAGCCTCCCCGAGGAGCCCCCAGACACTGCCCTGTGGGACCAAGGCCCGGTGCGCAGGACTTACTCAGGCCCATCTCTCCCTCCCTCCCTCCCTCCCACACAGGGAAATTCACAAATCTCAATCAAGGGTTTGCTGCTCTGACAGCAAGACATGCACATGAGCAACCCAAGCCCTGTGGAATCCACACCACCAACCCCAGAAGATCCCTCACTTTTTGCAGGCTTGTCTCGAATCGAGATTTTGCGAAGCTATTACTGCACATGGGCAGGAAGTTAAAGGGACAAAAGGCCGCTCAGAAGAGAAAATCATCTCTTCTCCTCCATCTAAATATTTTTCCCAGGAAGCAACTGTCTCTGGCGGTGCCTTCCGTGCTCATGCAAGGGTGTTCTGAGCAGGAAAGGCCGCTGGTCAGGCAGCGCAGAAGGTGAGTTTGCCCATCAGAAGGCAATGGCTTTTCTCTTCTGGTGATGCAGCAGAATTTCCTGTCTTCTGAGCACTGCGAGTTCCAGGCCTCCTGCAAGGTGGTAAGACGCTTTAGGAAACGCTTATGTCTTTATTTCAGAGCCAGAGAAAAGGAAGGACAGAAGGAGGAGGAGGAAGGAATCTACTCAACTCTTTTTTCTTTTTTAAATTGCTAAAGGTTCTTTTATCTGTCTTTTTTTTGGGGGGGGGGGCCACACCATGCAGCATGCAGGATTTCAGTTCTCCCATCAGGGATCAAACCTGTGTCCCCTGCATTGGGAGCGCAGAGTCTATCCACTAGACAACCAAAGAAGTCCCTGGAACAGTTTTATATTTACAGAAAGCAATGAAGAGAGTACCAAGCTTCCAAGTGTTCCTTCCCCTTCAGTTGACGAGATTCTTATTATGATGTGCCTGGTGCTCTGTTGTGTCTGACTCTTTGTGACCCCATGGACTGTAGCCCACCAGGTTCCTCCATTCATGGAATTTCCCAGGCAAGAATACTGGAATGGGTTACCATTTTCTCCTCCAGGGGATCTTCCTGATCCAGATATTAGAGGAAGCACACTGACTGAAACCGCCCACCCTGGCCAGGCACCATAGTAATCATTTGCATTTGTCCATAGTAATCATTTGCATCTGAGTTGTTTTACAACAGGACGTCCTGGTAAGGAACACAGAACTAATAAACCTCCACCAAACGAAAGAGTTCAGGAAAGGTCAAAAGGAGACACCAAGTGTCCGACCACCTCCCAGAATCCTTCTCTCTAGCATCCATCTCAGCTGAACAAGGCCTGCACTATCAGGAAGGGCTCTGAGTCAGAATGATTGGCTAAGGACAACCCGGAAACTAATCCCATCACCATAAAACCCGAGACTGCGAGCCAGAGCTGTTCTCCTGGGTTCCCTTACCCTCCTGGGTTCCCTTACCCTCCTGCTCTCCGTCCGGGAGCCCTTTCCCAATAAAATATCTTGCTTTGTCAGCACGTGTCTCCTCAGACAATTCATTTCCAAGTGTTAGACAAGAGTCCAGTTTCGGGTCCTGGAAGGGGTCCCCCTTCCTGCAACACAGGGATCAGATCAAACTCATGTCTCCTGCATTGGCAGGCAGATTCTTTACCATCTGAGCCACTGGGGAAGCTGTCACAATTAATAAACCAACCTTGATATGTTATTATCAACTGAAGCCCATACTTTATTCACCTCTCCTTGGGTTCCCTGACATCCTCTTGGCCCCAGGACTTTTCAGGGTCCCCTGTGATGTTCAGGACTCTCTGGGATCCCCCTGGGCTGTGCCTCTTTCAATGGCCTGGGCAGTCAGGGGTGGGGGCACAGGTCAGGGGTTTTGGAGAGCATACCTCCGTGGAGCTATTTTTTCTCTGATGTTTTTCTCGGGACTGGATAACCCAAACCAAGATTGATGGGCCTGCAGGGGCAAGTGCCTTGTTAACCTTTAACTGTTTATGGAGGTGTCACCTATGTACAGAACGCACCCAGGTCACAACAGCTGGTGATTTTCCACAAACCAAACTGCGAAATCCTGTCCTGGCACAGGGCTCCTAAAACCCTCCTAATGAGCCTCTTTCAACCACCTGAGTTCACATCCAGGTCAGGAGGGACCAAGCTAGAAACCCTTTGTGCCTAAAACTCTGGGACAAAGGGTTCCCTTTTCTCCACACCCTCTCCAACTTTTGTAATTTGTAGACGTTTAAACAATGGTCATTCTGACTGGTGTGAGGTGATATTTCATTGTAGTTTTGATTTACATTTCTCTGATAACTAATAATGTTGAGCATCTTTTCATGTACCTATTGGCCATCTGTCTGTCTTTGGAGAAATGTCTGTTTAGGTCTTTTGCTTGTTTCTTTGATTGGGGTTTTTTTGTGTTTTTTTTTTTATACTGAGCTGCATGAGCTGTTTGTATATTTTGGAGATTAATCCCCGTGGGTCACTTCATCTGAAAATATTTTCTCCCATCCTGTGGGCTCTCTTTTTGTTTTGTTGATAGTTTCCTTTGCTGTGCAAAAGCTTTTAAGTTTAATTAGGTCACATTTGTTTGCTATAACAAATTGGTCAGACCCAGGGAGAGGGGTGGCAGGAACCATGACACATAGCTAGTTGGTCGGTAAGAAGCTCAGGGGTCACAGAGGACTCGGGACTGGTTTGAAGAGGGAACAGGGCTGTGGGCTGAGCCCTTAAGCTGTGGGTTCTGCACTGACTCCAGGCAGAGAGGGTCGGAACTGAATTAAAACTGCACGATGGTGTCCTCTGGGCATTGGAGAATTGCTGGGTGCTTGACAAATACCCCAGGCAAACAAAACACCACTGTACTCAAGCGCCCAGGTCAACACAACAGGATCCCCCAAGCCCACACCCCAGCGAGGTTCCTACCTCTGGGTTCCCATCCCTGAGGTAGGTCCTGTCTGCTGTACCCCCCAAGGTTTCTGGGCTGTGTCCAGTCCTCCCCTCAACACTGAGTGTGGCAGTGCTCCCACCTGGCCAAGTGTGGGGCAGAGGGAGAAGTGGGCCATCCATGCCATTCCATGGGGGTTCCATCATGCACCCCCCTCAAATCTATTCTCTCCCATAGACCAGGGGGTCTCACTGGGGGTGATTCTGCCCCAGAGGCATCTGTGGTCCCCAGGACCTGGAAATCCAGCATTGAGCAGGTGGTGTGGCTCCACACCCTGCAATACCCAAGACATCCCACAGAGGGTGACCCCCCCCCATATCAGCAGTACAGGGTGGGGGAGCCCCATTATGGATGGATGGACGTCGATTGTCTTCAAAGGTTTGGGACTTTGCAAGATGAATGCCACGCTTGCCCACCTGCAGAGGGAGAGGGCCCAGAGCCTGAGCCCATGGGACACACCAGCCTTTCCTGTGTGCATTTTCTTGCCTGCAGGAAAGCTGAAGCCCCTGCAGAGAACAGCGACATTCCCACCTCCTGGGCCGACACGAATGGCCCTGTGCATGGTCCCTGCCTGTTCTGGACGTTTCCCATCAGTGGAATCACACTCTGTGTGTCCTTCTGTGTCGGCTTCTCTCACTGAGCATCGTGTTCTCAGGACCGTCCATGTGGTAGCAAGTGTCAGGGCTCCTCTCTTTTTCAGGGCTGAGGGACGCTCTGGGGTGTGGAGGGACCACGTGGTATTTGTCCCATTTATCCATCCACATGGGCTGTGCCTGTACCCTTGGCTGCTGCGGGTTCGTGGCTGCTCGTCTGGCCACCACTATCTTGCAGTTCGCCTGCGGCATCAACAACCAAGGATGTAATATCCCTCAGCGATTTCGGACCTCCAAATGTGAATGAGGTTCCCAAAAGGGAAACAAGGCCTGCGACTCAGATCCAGAAGATGCCGCCAGCCCCTTTGGTGACTGCTGAGGAGCTGAAGGAGGGGGCATGTGAGAAATCAAAAGGACAGGATGCTGCCCCCAGGTAGCTGAGATGCATGAAAGGAATGACGTCAATAATCCCAGACTCTTGCATCCTCTCATATGGAGAAGAGTGTTAAATTCCTTGAGGTATCTGATTTTCCTTAATTAGCAGTAATCCTTTGAAGTTCTGACTGTCTGCCCCCATTGTGGCAAACTCCTATAATCCTGACTCCTTCCCTGGCCTCCTCCGCGCTACCTGAGACGCTGCCTCCCTGGCTTGAAGTCCTAACATTTCCACCAAATAAAATAACACAACTCTCTATTTTCAGGTGGTGACTACATTTTGTAGTTGACAGAGGAATCTCAGCACCGCACTCCGACCAGGGCCACCGGGAGCTGTGGTTTTAGGGATCTCCGCCGTCCTGGGCAGGGACCTGGGGTGACTCCAGCAGGACAGAGATCAATGGAGGCGGGTGGTGTTTGGAAGCCCAGCACCCTGGTGGGAGGAAGCTTATCTGTCGCCACAGAGGTTCCTTCCCGCCCAGCTGGGTCCCACCCCACCCCCGGTGATGGGAGCCCAGGGGTTTCAAGAGTTGGGAGAGGGGGTGAGGCACCTGCAGCAGGAGGTGCTGGGGGACTGAGACCACCACCACCAGGTGGGCAGAGGGCTAGACCAGGGGCTCTGTTCTCAGCTGGACAGCTGGGGTGGGGGTAGGGACCCTGCAGAGAAAGAGCTTCCTGAAACAAGCCCCACAGCCAGCCCTTGAGCAGCAGCTGCATCTGTCCCAGAACCTGGGCCCAGATGGCAACAGGCAGCTTGACACAGTCAGGCCCCAGCTGGCCCTGGACCTGGGAACAACTGCCCTGAAGGAAGGCTGAGGTCAGTCTTTGGGGGACTAGCCTGCAGGGAGGATCCCACACTGACCTCAGAGGGGCCTGTGGACCCCAGCCCCCTGCTCTGTCCCTAGGGTGAAGCTGAACCTGTCCTTACTCTGACATGGTTCTGCAGGGAAAATGTGAGAGACACAGAGACAGAGATATGGAGACACAGACAAAAAAAGAGAGTAAAGAGGCAGGAAACAGGGAAGGAGAGACAGAGAGATACAGATGGAGACATAAAGGGATAAAGAGAGAGATAGACAGGGAGGGAGAGACAGAGAAATAGAGATGCAGAGATGGAGAGATAGACAAAGAGAGATAAAGAGAAAGAGCGACAGGGAGAGATGGAGAGAGATAGAGAGACGGAGGAGACAGAGATGGAGGGAGAGACAGAAGCAGGGGTGGGGGAGGCAAATGTGGCCAAAGTCTTGACTGGGAATCCAGGTAGCCGGGGAGTGCGGGTGGGGGGTGGGGTTGTTGTCCCCGGACTCCTCTGCCGTTTGAGGACGTCTCAAAACAAACCTGAGAAACAGACTCCTCTCCTTATTTCAGGATGACGTATCAGCAAACAGGCCCGAGGAAACCTGGAAACACCAGCACACCTTGAAGCTCGGCCCCCTTGTGGCCCGGGGAGGTCTTTGGTTGACAACAGCCTCCCAGGTGGTCAGGACAGGGCAAGTCACGACTGTGTAAAGTCTGAATTACCTGCGATCTTGGTTGGGGAGACTGGACCCACTCTCACTCTCAGAGGCTTTCATTTCTGCTTTGTCCTGCTTCACCTGTGGGACTTGCCCCCTAGGAAAGATCACTAGCCCTGGGCCACCCCATCACAACCCCGGGTTCATCTGGGATTATCCTCTGTCACTTTTCCAGGGAGGACAGAGGTGAGAGGGCGGCAGTGCCTGTAAACCTCTCCCTCGTGTGTCCCCCTCCTCCCACACAAACCGACCTTAAAGCCAGAGCCAGGCTGGCTTGCAGGGTGTGTCCAGGGCCAGGACTCGCTCCTGTAGGGAGCCTCCCAGGCTCCCAGCCTGGTATTCCCCCAAACTGGGCAGCCCATGGCACACTTTAGTCAACCCCAGCGCTAAAGGAATCAACCACCGGACCCCCTGTACCAGCTCCTGGAGCTGCTCAGACAAAGCATGACCAACTAGGCCACTCACACAGCAGAAACCATGCTCTTGGGAGGGTCCTTCCTGCCTCTTCCAGCTCCTGGGGGCTCCAGGCATCCTAGGCACTCCAGGCATCCTGGGCTTGTGGCCACATCACCTCAGCCTGTCCCTCCATCTTCCCATGGCCTTTCCTTTCCTTTTTTTTTTTTTTTTTAAGATTTATTTATTTACTTTTATTTTTGGCCTTATTGGGTCTTTGCTGCTTTACACAGGCTTTCTCTAGTTGTGTCGAGTAGGGGCTACTCTCTGGTTGCGGCGGCTTCTCTTGTTGCGGAGCACAGGCTCTAGGTGCGTGGGCTTAGTTGCTCTGAGGCATGTGGAATCTTCCCAGACCAGGGACTGAACCCATGTCTCCTCATTGGCAGGCGGACTCTTATCCACTGGAACCCCAGGGAAGCCCTTCTTCTTCTGTCTCCTCAAGGACACCGGTCATAGGATTCAGGGCCACTCTAACCCAGGTTGATCTTATGTGAAGACCTTTAATTAATAGTTACATCCGCAAAGATGTGTTTCAAATAAGACCCCATTCTCAGGTCTGGAAGCAACCACTGAATCCACTGCACCATCCGGTCCTCCCAA